TTAGGCAATGGCTTGAGGCATAAGGATCCTTCTAAAGGTTTTGAAAAGCTTTAGAAGGATCCTCTGATGTGCAGTGGAGACAGGCTGCTGAGCAGACCTCAACTCTTACCTGAAGTTTGTTGCCTAATGCATTTGCTTTTCTCCTCCAAGAAATTCACCACACCTTAAAAGTTGGCCCCCAGACTTGACTTGAGACTTGGCTTGAAATTTATCTTGCAAGGACCTAAAACTTGGCTTGAGACTTTATGGCAGAGACTTGAGACTTAACTTGAGCCTTGGACCAAAAGAATTGAATACATCACTGGTCTACTGTTTGCCACAGCTGGCTTTTTTGGGAAATAGGGGCCACTTGCCACTCTTTTCACCTTGAGCCTGAAGCCAACACTCTGAGCCAAGGGAACCTTTAATTTTGTGGCCTATTTCCCAGGCAAAGTAGGCATCGGCACATTTATTTGCACCTTTTCAAAAATTAATTCTGCCCCTAACCTATATGGGGAGGAACATAGACCTCCAAGATGATGTAGTGGTTTGAGTGTTGGACTATGACTTTGGAAACTAGAATTCGAATCCCTACTCAGCCATGAAAACCCATTGGGTGATCTTGGGCAAATTGCATTCTCTAGTCTCAGAGGAAGGCAAAGGCAAACCTCCTCTGAACAAATCTTGCCAAGAAAACCCCATGATGCATTCACCTTAGGGCTTCCAAAAGTCAGAAACGAGTTGAAGGCACAGAACAACAACAACAACAACAACAACAACCTCTTTGAAAACTAGCATGGGGTAGTGGACCAAGGGTGCATCTTACCTAACATCTTGTTTTCAGTAACAACTGCACAGGGAGAGAGATATGAAGGTAACACTTCTTTCTCTCCATATGTCCCTGAGCAATGGACTAGGAATTCAGAAAATGACATATTTTGTCCAGAAATGTGCTTTTTCTATGCAGAAAATTGTGTTTTCTGCATAGAAAAATCACATTATACCATTTTCTGCACAAAGCTAAAAATCCTGGAAATGTTTCACACAGAATAAGTCCCAAACTGTGAAGATTCTCATTTGTCCAAGATTTCTCTTCAAATATTTTCAAATATTCTTTCTGCCCTACCAAGAGACTGCATGACAGAGCAATCCATCACAATGTTCTTCTATTTCTAACATACTTTGGAGCTCTCCTGCAATTCAGGTGCTGGATCCCATCTCCAAAATATCTCATTATGTATAGGCAAATAAAGAGCCAACGGTGGTGTAGTGGTTTGAGTGTTAGACTATGACTCTGGAAGAGCAGGGTTCGAATCCTGGCTTGGCCATGTAAACTCATTGGGCGACCATGGGCAAGTCACACTGTCTCAGCCTCAAAGGATGACAATGGCAACCCCCCCCCCCTGAACAAACTTGCCAAGAAAACCTACAATAAGTCAAAAATGACTTGACAACAACATAGGCAAATATTCCAAAATCTAAAACATTTCTAGTCCCAAGGATTTTGGATAAGGTAGACTCAACCTGTACCCACTTAGATGACTGCCTTATGAATATGAGGCCAAGATGTGCTCTCTGACTCACAAAAGTTTGTGTTGCAATACATTTTGACGGTACTACAGCACCCTTTGGGACTCTAGTTCCCATCAGATGCCAAACAAATGGAAAAAGGGTGAGG